AGCGCTGAAGGCCAAGGACTCGCATGACTGGCAGCCCCGGCAGAGGGTCAGGACAGTGAAAAGCGTAGTGGCAAAGGGCAAGAGAATCGAAAACCCCAAAACGAAGACGGAGAGGAAGGCTGAAAGACAGCGGGTCGATAAATTGCACAAGCGTCTCGAAGAAGGGAAAGCCAAGCAGACCAAGTTTCTGTTACACACCCCAGACGGCGAAATGTACGACGCACGGCAGCCTGTCCTTATTCCAGACGAAGCTGGAGACGAGGACGTTGCCGACGAGCAGATGACAGCGGAAGACGCGGCAGCCATCGAACATGCCGACTTCATGAAGAATGGCAGTTCTTACCGACCCCGGGCGCTTACTCCACCGTCTGGGCTTGTCGCGAAGAACGTCGTTGCGGGAGTCAAGCGCAGGTCAAGCGATTCGAATCCCTTTGCGACACTCAAGATGGGCCAAGGTTGATGATGGCGACGGAGCCACTGACAGTTGGGTGAAATAGAAGGCGTGTTCGTGTCGCTCGCCGAGAGCCAGTTGGGATGAGTTTTGTTACCATCAGGGGGTATGGAGGTCTTCAAGATATCTTTGCCATGAAAACGGGCTATGATATTGCCTGGCTATGTACTAGTGGTGTTCTCAGCCAGAGGCAACCGCGTCTATCTTGATAGTAGACTCATGGCTTTCCTCATGACACGACATATCTGAGCCCCGAACTACCTGCATATTCTGACATTGGCCTTTGTCCTCGAGGACGTGGTCTGCGCAACTTTACCAAATGGTAGTATTTTGATGATGAGCTCATCTCATTTGGCTCCTGGCGTGGACAAACAACCCCGACCCCGCAGTGCATTTCTTACTGAAAAATATGCTGGGAATTATGCCGAAGTTACCCACGCATGCGATTGATGGATGATGAACATGTGCGTCTCCACACGTGCAGCCGATCGATTTGTTTGCTTGTTTGCTGAATAGCAGCGTCTCGCCTTGTTGATTTCACGCTCGTCTCCAATGAACACCAGCATCTACTGCCACTGTGCCTGAGTGTCTCCATTATTTCTTTGTTCCAGTCTTCGCAAGCCAAAATCAGCGAGACTGCCTGTTCAGACGCGGCAATGTCGTGTTATCAAGGCATTCGCACCGCAGCACGCGCCCGGTTCTTTCAAGCGAGGCCACTTCAGACACAGGGCGGGAAGGGGTGGTCACATCGATGGTTGAGGTAGCCCGCCGAGCAAAGTGCACTCGCGTCGTCGAGAGCCTCCTCGACATCGACCCGTCCTACCAGAAGATCACTCAAGCTGTGGATTCAATGTCCAAGATGTGACTGGCTCGATGGGTCCGATATCATGTCACCTCCGGGTTTCTGTTTAGGGCTTTTGGTCCGTAGTGCTTGACTTACGTGAGGAGGGCCTATGTCATCGCCTGCCCAGGTGGGCGCCTGTTGGCACCATTGCGCGCCAAAGCAGAAACACGGTGCACGCTCGCTCCGCTTTCGCGAGCAAGGAAATTACCATGCTGACATATCGCGCGATGCGTCATATCACTACATGCAAGCTTCCAGTTGTGCAATGTACTCCTATGTACTCATCCTTCATTTGCACTTCCGCACGTCCTATCAGGCAGGGGTCGCACGGGCTGCTCTGCCTTTACCCCTATGAGTTTGACAGCTGCGTACAGTGGGGGGCCCCCCCCCCCCCCGACGATGAGTTCGGACTCCTTGCTGGGCGAACTGGGCTCGGCATTCGCAGACACGTTCTGGGGTAGACCGAAGCCGAAGATCCAGTCCAGATCGTCTTG